CCAATACTTCGCAACAAACCACTAGATTAACAATAAAATTATATAATGCTGTCTGTTCTGTCAGAATGTTTGTATTAATTGTTTTTGTTTTGTTGCTTGTCATCTAGGAATGTGTGATCCATAACAGGAATGGTTATTCAGGAAATTAAGCACATTCTCATAATAGTGTAACAGAATTGGATATACTTTTTTGTCATTTTTTTTCTTCTTTGTTGTAAGGTTGCTATCAAAATGTCAGTGGTGATGTTACCATTTTTATGTTCTTTCCACGGCACATACATGTGCTCCAATAAGAATAAAATATATCAGTCTAATTTAAGTTTAATATATTTGGCTGGTTTTGATAAATGTCATTAAACCGATTGTAATGCCCATTATTTTAAACCCGTTTTTATGTATTGTAATATTTTGTATCTCTTTGGGGTGGTGATTTACAGCTTATAAATGGCCAGGATTCTTATACTCAGAATAAAAATAATATTGTAGCTTAAGAGATTATGTTTAATATTCAAATGGTTTTGTGGAGACGTATTTGGATAGCCTTATGACTACAAACCTTTTAATAGGGCATACAATAAAATCTAAGTATAACTGACTTTATGTGGACTTATATTTCATTATAATGAAAGACAGAAACAAATTAATTCAGTAAGATTCATTGTTTTTACAAAGGTCAGTGCATTTTTATCAAATAAGTGGCACATCCTATGTCCATAATTATATTCACAAGTGTATAGGCAATCATTCATCCTGCTTTTGTTGCATAAAGTAGAATGATCTATGTGTGTTGTAACGAAGCCCCTATTTTCTTCACTCTTTCTTTGGCAAGCACACAGCATTTTTAGTAGGGTTCTTGTCCATATTTGTGTTTGCAACCCATGGGTTTAAACCAACAGGCTCCATTAGTTGGGTAAAATCCTGCTGCCTTTTTTTTCAGAGCTTCCACGCAAAATTAACTAAACCTCTTTTAAAACCTGGAATTTTCTACATATGACCATGGCATTTCAAGATGATTCATAATACTCTTATCTTAATAAACAGTAATTATTTGTGTTAGACAGAAAACAACAACAAATTCAGTATAATATATTTGTCATAAGGCATATACAATCAATTTGTACTGACTTACTTGCATTTTAGAGTAAATACTGCAAAATACATTTGCACTTCAAATACATAATTACATGGTTACTGAGCAATCTGTACACTTTATAATGTATATTTATATAAATTTTTACATAATGCATTATAATATGTACACAATATTATATACTACCTAGACTTACACTTTTAAGGGAACTCTGTCCACGTCCCCAAGCCAGGTGTACCATTAATATGGTAACTTGGAACACTTAGCTTTCAAACTTCTTGGATTCACTCAGTTTCCTTTTTTCTGTTGACACAATATGTAGTTGTGACGGGAAGGTAAGGTTTGTTTCACTCAGAGATGGTTGTCAATACTGGAGGATACCAATTTCTTTCTGAATGCTACTACTGCATATGAGAACAAATCTTGTGGATATCGTAAAACCAAAATCTGTTTTTAAGCAATATCAATCACATTTTGATATACCTTCATAAAAAGTTTTTCAATAAGTGAATTTGTTATGTTATTAATTCAAAATTGACAGTGTTCTGATTAAGAATGCAAATATGCTTATTCTAATATTTTAGAATCATGGTTCTCTCTTTTCAATTTTGTACTTTATAAAAGGCTTTTATTTAATATTAATTCTGCATAATTATCTCTGCTCAAGTGTCTTTCAATAGAAATTTGTGAATGTTATACTTCTAATTTTTATTGTTCTAAAAATCAAATTAAGTAATGTAACTAGAAAGATATCTAATCACACTGATCAGTCCTCTTGTAAATACTGCAGTAGGCATAATCACTGTCATATCGACACTGAGTTAATGTTGATTCCTTTCTTTCTCTTTGGCTGAAACTGCAGTGATTGACAACCACCTCACCTCAATATGACATTTGTGTCATATCCCTGCTCCTTGGAGTCCCGTTGACCAGACACTCTTCTAAATGGGTTCCATGTGAGTTTCTTATGTTGGTGGTGGCTTGTTACACTGCCTGCAGGGCTGGGCTGTCCACTTGATACCCCTGAGCTTGAACTACTGCTAGTTGAAACTGAGCCCTTTGGTCCACCTTTAGGTTGCTAAAAATACCAGTACATCTCTTATCAAGTTGTGTGTTAAAAGGATTACAGTTGTTTACTGAACAGGTAACAAAACTCGAGCTGTGGTTAATCAGAATATAAGTTTTTACCACATGTAGTGGCAGCACTTGTTTCATATTCAAATGTCCATGGCTCTCATCTATGCTGGCAGATCAACTATCATGATAATTTTTTTTCATGGTTTTCCTTAATCCCTCCAGGGTGTTACCAGGTTAGTTCCTCAAGGTAGGTCACAATCATTATCTTCCACCTCCTTAGCATATTACTGTAATCACCATATCATTCAACACTATATAACCTCTGCAAATGATACAAATGAACAGACTGCAATATAAGTTTGAACCGAAATGAATTGGTACTCCTTACCTGACAGATGTAGCTTCCAAATGTAGTGTTCTGATTGTAGAATATAGGGAAATGGACAGTATCAAAATATAACTTTAAATGATAAGTTTAAATTCTGTTTATAAACAACAGAATGTGATTGACTGACAGGCTGGCCCCAAGTATGTACTTGCTACAAATGTAAAAGTAAAATAATGTCTAAGCACCATGCCATGATATAGTACACAGTACATTCAGACTGAACACTCGTACATTTTGGAGCTGGAGAAAGGTGAATAATCAGCTTCATGCTGTAACTGCTTTACTCCTGGAGAAATTGCATCTTCCAGGAATCAAAGCTTATCTTCCGCCTGCAACCAGTTACTTCACTGACAGCTATCCTGGCTCATTCCTGTTTTTCATTAATACTGTATTTCTTAGTGCAAAATTGATACTGTACCAGCTAAGCAGCTATTGTCTAAGGCACAGAAAGGAACGTTCTAAGTTTTCCTTATTAATTCTTTACACACGCTGCAATTGAAGTACTTGCCCTTCTGGTCTTTATGTATTTGGCATTTGAAAAAAATTAATGAAAGAAATGTAATCCATCTTCACTCTACAGTTAAATCTGACTACTTACTGCCATGGAAATATACTATCAGAAGAAGGTTTATCTAAATAAAAATCAACATTTAAAATGTTAACTGAACATAAGACAATCATTCATCTTAATGTTACCTTTGTCAATAGCATCAGATTGGCTTTCACATTCACTTCATAACACATAAGACTACTGTTTGCCAAAGAGGCAAATTTCTGACAACTAAATTTTTAATTTAACTCATTCTTAACGTCAGTACTTTGGGCCTCTTTATCCCTATGGTAAGTACCCTGGTACCTATCTGATAGGAGGTTGGGTGAGCCCCAGAGCCAGTCTAGACATTTCAGTGAAGGGGAAATCCTGCAGAAGGCAGAAACTGGTGAATTAAGGATGTGCTGTGGCTGAAATGTGATTATTTGTATCAAAATTGTAAAAGTGTGGGGAGAACGAAGCTCCCTATAGCCTGCTAGATGGCAGTAAACTTTATAAATTAATGGGTTAAAGTACATGAACTGCTAATCTTTCCTTACCTTCAGGTAATTTCTGTCCATGGGTGTTACAAGTTTGAGGCTAAGTGTGTCTCCAGCATCTTTTATTAGTTTTACAACATCTTCATGTGGAGACCACTTGACATCTTGGTCACCAATTGTGACTATGAAATCGCCTTCTTTCATTCCTCCGAACTAAATGTGACAAAATATAAATTAATGTAGTTTCACTTTTCCCCTCTAAGCCTACTTTCCACAGTACTAAAATTGAGTTATATACAGCAGTTATTTTGCCCATCATTTTTTATGAATGTACAATATGGGGAAGTACAAAAATTACAAGTATTTGAAAATGAAAGCATTAAAGGAAAATATATGGGCCTAAGGGAGAAGAAATAAGTAGGGAGTGGAGGAATTTACTTACCAAAGAACTTCATATTTATATTCATAAGGTAGTTATATCAAGGTTTTAATGGGCTGGACAGAATAAGCAGAAAACATGCAGAGTTTGGATGGCAAACCTTATGAAGTGCAACCACGTGAAAAATGAACATGGGGATTGGAGGGTAGCACTACAATGCATGTGTAGTGGATGAAAGTGGACCACTATCAGATCTGATGACAAGTTTGTAAGTTAGAGTAAAACCTTAACATTCTAAAAGAATGACTATCTTTCTACATGATTTAAACCTAAAAGCAATGACACTGTCTAATCCAGAATTATGTTCCTTGGATTTTACATGTGTTTCAAGCTTGTGTTAACTATTAACTAAATACATGCTGCCATTCTTCCTTCATAGGTTAACAGTTATAGCTGACCAAGGACTTTCTAAGAGATATCTGAAGAATCATCATTAAAAAAGCATAACATTTTGCCCTATCAGAAGAAAGTTTAATACAGTTTAAATGTTCTCCACTTGTGTCGCTAAGATCCTTGGAGGTTTCATGACCAAAAATTGTGCAGGTATTTTTGTTTCCAAATACATGAATTGTGTGTAAGGTAGGAAACCTACATCAGCAAGGCTTCCTTGATCCACTCCAGCTACTATAACAGGCCCATCACCACGGACCGAGAATCCAAATCCTTCACCTCCTCCAAGCCTTTGCAACTGAATAGATCTTGGTGCTGTCCAGTGATGTTTTGCTGAAAAGATGGCTACTGGTCCAAGAAAACGAAATAGGTCGTCTACACGGAACTGAGAGAAGTCTGGTGGCGTCAGTGACAGCTGGAATTTGGTAGATGCTAAAACATTTAACAACGCATCTTAATTAAGAGTGGATAAATGATCTTATTCTTATTCAAAGCTTAGGTCTGCTGGCCTATTTTGATCCCATTTTTATTATGTGAACCAATCCTTACATCTCATAAATGTATTCAACACATTAGGTCTACAAAATAAGTGTGAAAATGAACCTCTGAAGAGGATTAAACCATTTTATTTCTTCTGAGAGGAAAATATTCAAGATTGCAGAAACAAGTAGCTGAGTAAAATCATAATGAAAATCTTTGAAACTAATTGCTGTAGATGATTCTGTAAAAGCAAATTTCTTCAGTTTAAGGATAATAAATTACAATGATATTCAACAATGTCTATAAAATTGTCATGCTTATGATACGCTTAGTAAGAAATTGTGGAATTTTGGTGCAGTACGACTACAGGTACTCTTCTAGTCATATTATATTTAAGTATAAACTGAAATGTTCATGTGAATAAATTGTGTGCATGTATGTACATGTTTACTTTGGTAATCATATAACCAAACTAATTAAGGGAAAAAACTACTGCCAAATAAATTTCATCAGGAAATTTCCACATGTAGAAAGAAAATAAAAATTTGTGGAGAATTATTTTCACTCTCGCTGAATACCCTACAAATTTGGTTCTTAGGCATAAGAGTGGCATTATAAATTTGACACAACAAAGTTGATACTGCCTGTTGTTCATATGTTAACTTTTGTGAAAGCAAGACAGTACAATGTTAATACCTAGAATTTGTGGAGGATCTAGTAACTCTCGGAAATCATCTTCTTCCTCTGCCGATGTATACGCTTCCAAGGCTCGGCTATGAGACTTTTTTAGCACTCCTGCAAGTGCTGCCTTGCCCTTGAGTTCTCTGCACATTCTGTGTAGTCGTTGACTTTCTTCATGTCTTAGCAGTGCTTCACGTAAGTGGGCACGGCCTGAAACAAACACACCGGTTTAATAAAATGTGTAATGTGTCTTGTTCTGGTAAACACATATGGGAATAGGCCTAGTGTGTTGTTGAGTAGAATTAATTAGAAGTATGAGTGTTCTCCCCTTGTTTACTGTATGGTCTTACTCTATTTTGTTGGGACAGGATTTAAGTTTGATGGCGGTTTTTGTCTGTTCCTTTCCCTGGTTTGATTACTTTTAGAGTATTTAGAATAGGCTTTGGTATAAAATTGCCCCCCCCCCCACCTCCTTCTGGGTCAAGAAATTATGAACTAAGGTGTTTGTTCCTAGTAGTGTTTTGAATTCTTTACGTATATTGTTTATTAATATGATTAAAAATTAGGCAAGAAAGGAGAAGTATTTGCTCAAGTAGTTTACAGCATGTCTCTGGTGATTTCACTGCTGTGAAAAAAATACTGAGTCCTTTTTCACAACTTCTTTACATTAGTATTTGAAAATTCTTGCCTAATAACTTTCTTTCTGCATCGTCTTGTGGGACTCGGATTTCCAGCTGTGTCTTTGGGTCAGAATCTCCATGGAGATACTGTAGAGCATCCTTGGTCCTGTCACTGAGTTGATTCAGTTCCCGGCTCAGAATTCCAACAGCAACGTAATGATGTGCCACAGCTGAATAATGCTCCTGCTTCACCAAAACAAGAGACACCCAAGAATAGGGAACATAGTCTTTGACTGGAGCAGATGAGATTAAAGCATGTACATTGCTGTACACGTCAGACACCTGTTAACACAAAATATTTGTGTGAGACTAAATACAAAACAATTTACATGTGACTTGTAGCAACTATAGTTTCATTACACTGCAAATACAATGGACACTGACTAAGGTGCTTTTGATATGCACAATATTTTACTCTGTGTATTGGTTATACTCAGATACTGACGTGATTTGGACTCTCAGAAATTAAAGACTATTAGCCAATGAAGAAGAATTTTCATGTTGGTACTTAATGCGAAGTGTTGAATATAGGGGAAATTTATGATAAGATACCTGTACTAACACCTGTTTACTGGACATATCTAGTCTGTGTAAGAAAGTGTATATTTTGTAAAACTGACCTGTGCTGCTTCTTGGGCAAGATCCAAACACAAGTCAACATCCCTCCGTTCACGTGACTGCAGTTCCAGTTTCTCAAATAAGCATTCACGAGCCTGTGCCTAAAAATGAAATATTAATATACATCTAAATCCTTCATCTGGAGTGAACTGAATTTAAATTGTGATTCCTTAAGTCTTTGTCTCTATAAATCAACAAAAGGGAAAATAACTATGTTCCTAAAAAGAAAATGTTCTGTTACTGTCAAGCTATGACTTAATGGGACTTACCAGCATTAGTTGTGACAACATATCCAGCATTTCTGGTCCAAGGTCCATGCTGGGTGCATTGGTGAAATTCTCGTGAATATACCGAAATGTTCCGGCAGCTCGTAAAAAACTATCTACAGCACTGTCCAATCCTTTGGGAGTCAGGCGATCCTGTTTTGCTCCAATCTGCGTGTATACTGCACCCATGTTGAACAGTACGCAGGCTTTCTCAAATGCCACGGTGCGCTGACAGCTAGGTACTCCAGTTAGAGAATCATACCTGAGCAAAATATCGGTTTTATTTACAGTTACTAAATTTGGGGATGCTTGCTACCGTGCAATTCAGAATCTTTTGTCTTCCAGTCTGCTATGTAAAAATATAAACATTAAAATATACAAAACTATAATTTAACCTGTTTTGTATTAGTGTGAAACCCAGTCATTTCCTTCAAAATTTCTTCCAGTTGGTAATTATCTTCACATTTAACGTGACAGTATCACCTGCAGCTAATACAGAATACTACTAAATCATGACAACAACACTACTCACCATTCAAAATAAATGCCAAGGCTCCGATCAGGAGGGAAAAACCTTCTCTCCACAAAGTACAGTTGATTATAATATTGGAACAATAGCGCCACACCTGAACTGTCCCGCAGAGGTGTCCGCATTGCCTGGAAACAGAGGTTAACGCTTCCTAGAATACTTTCATGAAATTACATGTCAGTTCACAACTGACTGCCTGTCAAGTCTACAGCCTGAACCCATGCAAAATACAGTGGATTAATCTCCTTTATAATGAAAGAGAGTTAGTAAATTTGCTACAAAGAATTCTTTAAAAAAAAACGTGAAGTGTCTTTCAACATTCCATGACAGTTTGGTTCAGACTACAGAAGAACTTCATGCTTGACTAACCACACTACTTAGAGTTTCCATACCAATTCATGGAATTGATCCTCTTACATTGCAATAAAAGACTTATTGGTAAATGTCACTGCTCTGTCTTCACTTCTCTTGAGTTCTTTATTACTATTTCAAATCAAGAAAGCAGCTCCACTACCAGCACAATTTATTAGTGCAAATGTCATCCAGTTTCAAACTAAAAATTATGGTATGAACTTTTACTAAGGTGTAAGATTTGAGGTTTTCACAGTGGTGAGTATGAAGATTTCTGTCTTCTGGGGTGTCGCCCTGATGACGGAGGCAGTATGATCTCTGAAACGTTGGTAAACATTGACCAGACTACACAGCGCAACAACCCAGAAGACAGAAATCTTCAAGATTTTCTTAGTTTTAGAGCAACCATTAGATTCATCACCGTTTCAAATATTCTCTTCGATACACTTCAAAACAAGGTTGTTTCTGAGTGCATCTTGCAATTAAACTTGCCACATATTAAACAAAGCAAGACATGTTTTGAACAGGATATGCACACTGTGTTGAATATACTTTTGCTGATTTTATTTATTGAGAAACAATGAACAATGTTATATGGCTGTTGGCGCTGCCATTGTTTTATATAATTTTATTTCACTCGGTGTTTCATTTCCAATTTTTGCCCGCCTGTTACGCACGTAACAGAACTGTGTAATTTTCCTATCAATCGATGCCACTGTCTAATGTGTCAAGATTCGTCGTAAAATGCGGAAGATCGTGTGAATGAGTTTATGAGCACATTGAAAACAGCATTTCAAAGGCCTTTTTTCTGATAAGCGCTTACCTGCCGAATGTCCATGAACTCTGCTATGGAATCTTCATACTGGCTCCCATCCTCACTGTAGTGTTCCAAAATGAAATCCTGTAATTTTAACACCAAATTAGCTACGCTGAAGGCATTCTCCAGCATTTTAACTCTATGCACCTCATCAACTGACAACTGAAACAATGCTACATATTGGGAACAACCTGTGTTAAACATGCAAGGCTTTCAGTCCTCTGATTACATTTTTAACAAAGTATATTGTCCTCTGGATCACTGACACCAATGTCAATGACACATAGTGATAGAATAGTGAGCTATCTTTGAAAGTCAGTGATGCTGGTTCACTCTTAAGACACGGCATGGTCATTGACAGTGTTGCCAACCCACAATAGTGAGCTGATGATGCATATGATATCAGTCTTTGAATTTTCACGACCTGGCAAGGTCTCAATCTTTTCTGTCTTGCTCTCTCAACGCAACAAGCAATCCCTCACCTTCGTGTTTGAATCCTACAATAGTATATAGCCTTATAAAGTGGCATCCTTGTCATTATTTTTTTAGCGGATAATATTTCATTATTTGTTCATCAGTCTATATTTTAAATTAGGTGAAGTGTTAAAACTAATTATTTTATGTCATACAGATTTTATAATTCACTTTCTTCATTTTGTAAGAAAAGATTATGTTGGCAATTTATCAATGTTATTCGCACTATAACGACTTGTCTCCGTATTTTATAATCACTTGCCAAAAATAATACCAACATGGCGATCATGTAAACTTCTGATGTGGAAACGACATTTGCATTGACGTATGGTCCTGAAATCCAATGTCTTAATGTACATTCATAAGTAAGCAACTTTTGATAATTAAATATCCATTGAAGCTTGTAAACAGCGGCGGCGAAGCAAATCACCAGGCCCTGAGTGAGACTGATTATAATAATTATCGCTGCCCCTTACGGAAAAGGACACGTCTAAGGAATTTAGGCGATTTCAATTATTATTATTTTTTAACGATTTGAAAACCGCATCTCTGCGGCTGACTCACGTAAGTTTTCCGCCGTCTCCCCCATTTTCACCCAAAATCTTTGTCGCTTACATTTACATCGTCTTTTATTTCAAAAAATTTAGAAGTGGCCCACTTAATTCTAGATTCTATCGCTCTACTTAAGCTTTCCGTTTTCCTTTAGATGCGCCGAATTCATAATTTCTTCTCAAACCACGACTCCCTTTAATACCCAAAATCGCAATAAACAAAATACACACAATATAGGGTAGAATTTGAGGTTTTCACGGCGGTGAGTCTGGTAATGGCGGCAGTATGACCTCTGAAACGTCGGTAAACTTCTACCAGACTTCACGGCGCAACAACCCAGAAGCCAGCCATCTTCTTTAATAAACGGTAGCCCTGAAAAATCTATCAGTAGCATTCGGGCGAACCTACAGGACACTGTACAAAGCAAAATGGAAATCTCTAATTAATAATTACGACGTTATATCGTGTCTTCACGTAACAATGGAAATTACTCCGGAAAACAACGCCCCATCCTCTGCTTCCACTTCCTGTGTATTTACCGCGAGGCTCTGGAATATTCCAGTCGCAATTTTCCGTGACAGTATACACGCATTGCTTGCCTACTGAAAACATACGAGCATGCTTTTTTTTTAGAAGAAATCCAGCAGCAACTTTCTTTAACAAACGTTAGGGTAAACAGCTGTTTATTCATGCACGCAATATCCATTGAGTGCGCATACAGACCCGTCCTTTGTTTGTTCATATTGACTATACAAGAGAAATCTATCCAATGAATTACACCGTCTTTCTACCGTACGTGTCTGAAATGTCAACACGAACACACAGTAACGTCTGATACTGGATATATGCAAAAATGGACAGCTAATTACCTCGTGACTCTGTAACAATTGCTAAATTTATGCAGCGTCTAAGGCGGAGCGTTCATGTTAACGGCTAAAACTTTGAAAAATTAAAAGTCTTCTGTCTTTATTTTCGTGGTTCAGTATTACTCCACACATTGGAACAATGCAGAACGCCCGCTGGGGGCTTAAACCTCAACTAGTTGGCTAACGATGCTTTTTTATTAATTACTTTTGCTATGTTCCAGTGATTGGTAGAACTGAAATTAAATGTAAGACTACTAACCGCGGCTCCGTGAAATAAATTATGCGGCTAGAGGCTTCAGTTCAATTACCTGTGAACAGCTTAAGAATAGGCGTGGTGGTTATACCATATAAAGTGTCAATAATCCTTTCTAGCATATTGCATTGACCCGCCAGATATACAAACAACAGGCCTATCCTTGTCGTAAACTTGTGAGAGTTGGCACAGCGTGACAATACGATCAGTGGCGGCTCGTGACATTTTACAATAGTCCAAAGAAATCATACTCGTTGTAAATCATACTTTTCAAACGCATTTATTTCTATATTGTATCCCTCGTTTTAATAGGTTGCTTACTGCAGACGCCTACACATTGTTAATGGGTGCTATCAACAGCGCACAGACTTGTTTCGTGAAGTGTGAAAATCTGGAAGTTATTAGCAGAGGGAAGAAGATACACAAACTTGGTTTTCGCATGTCTAATTGCGTCGAACGGATTGAGACGGAACCGATAAGACTCAGTGTCCATGTTGTGGACAAATCTACGACATTTCTTGACACCGCTCGGACATAGCTTACGAACTATTGTTACTGAAGGAAATGTATTGAAACTTATCGTTGACCCTGATGATGGATTACGTCCTTTCGAAACACTGGTATCTACCTACAAGTCCACTCGGCGTTACAACCCAGAAGACCAACGTAGACATCTTCATTGCCGTGAGAACCTAAAATTTTGTACAGAAACTTTGCGGTACGAACTAAATTCTTAAATATTATTTCGACTATCCTTGGTCTCAAAAGGTTAATATTTGTGTTTTATATGCCACGTCTTTCTCGGGTAGCTCAGTAGAAGCAGAGAATGGAAGTGTCACAGTTCCGGCAATATTTCTATATTATTTACTACGACATGTAAAACCCAGAAAGATGTAGGACACCCACAGTTAGCCATGTGTTACAAGTCACAGGACATTTATCCTACTCAGGAGTGCGGATAAGAGACGGTACTTAGTCACTGTCATATATTTAAGACTAGTTGCAATAGGTGTGACTTTCAGATGGCTTATAGTCGAGTCAGTGGCGGACAACTCGTTCCAGCAAATTCGTTTCCTTCTGCTGGAATACTCGTTCAAATTCCAGTGATTACTGTAGTGGATTTGAACGATGAAAAACAGCATTTCTCAGGAAAATATTTAATATATTTGTTATAAAATATAGGCAGTACCAAACGTCTGGCGGATACACGCTAGCTTTCTATCACGAAGACACGGGTTCAATTCCAGTGACTTCAAGTGAGATTCATGGTGGACAATGTGGCACTTCGGTTTTCCCCTCCACCATAGCTCCATGCTCATCTATCACCGCCCCATGAAGTGTGCGATAACTCTGACCAAACAGCACATCATCACACCCATGGTTCTAAGTTAGGGGCTTCGTCTCTGACCCGGCACCTGGCTGTACTTGGAATAAATGTTATTTTAGCTTAAAAATGTGGGATAATAGGTGTTTACTACCTTTATCATCGGGGTTATGATGGAGGTAATAAACACGTATGAAAATTTGGCAAACTTCTACGACGCTACACGGCGCAACAACCCATAAGACAACCATCTTCGTACCCACCGACGAGAAAACCTCAAATCATACAATGATGTAGGTCATTACCCTTGAATAATTGATGAACGAGAAGAGAATTAAATTTTCGGTTCGCCAGACATGTGGCCGCAAATTAACTGTCATCGGAAAATGATCACAGCAGTTTCACATTTTGCTGACGAAGCAAAGATAATTACAGGTTTCCAGGTATGTCAGGTACGCAATTTCGCAATTGCCGAAATACATTCGACGGCCAATAAGAATCTAAATTGCAGGGAGGCCATATTCTTATAAACATATAGTCATAAATGGCCTGAAGACATACAACAGAATTATAAAATCTATACCTCCGCCATTTTTATATGCCCTAACAATTATTCGGCAGAACATCGATGTGTTCAGTTAACTCCATGGAGCAAGTCTATAGACGTCTTTGAGAAAATTATAGCATCTCGGTTGGTCGAGTAATCTCTCTCATGTTATGATACTCAAAACTTCACTGTCGTGTTCACAGACATAAGCCAAAATAATCCAGGCCCTCATATACTGTTTAAGATCCATTTTAATACTATTTTCTCATCTACGCTTTGATCTCCCTTAAGATTTTCCTACTGCAAATGTGTACACCTTTCATATCTCATACCATTCTTCGACGTTCGACATCCAAGGAATAACTGCAGAAATATTGACAGACGCCAAGGTCTCTTAACCTATTGTGTCTTAATTCATATAGTGATGGGTCGCCTGAAGCACTTTCTTAACGTCGAATGAAATACGATCATCACGAATGGAGAAATGTAAATGAGGGAGGTCGTGCAAGTGGAATTACTCTCCCAACGGCTGCCTTGAAGGGCAAAGGAAAACAACAAATATTTTGTAGATTTTATTCAAAATACATAAATTTGCAGTTGATATAGTGCACATTAATACTCCACGGGCATAGTGTAGTCTGTAAATGCTAACCCTTTGCTGATTTACTGGCTAATGAAATGCAGATACGTCAGCACGAAGACGAACATCTTACATATAAAAAAAGCAAATTTCCTCAGAAAACACTTCTAACGGCGAACACTCGAGACTGAGAAGACGTACAGTACCTTCATTACCCGTTACAGCTTGTTGTTTTAGAAGATAACTTTACTTCTATTCGCGGTTTCGTGAAGGATCACACTAAGCTTGCCAGTCTGACACTGACATGCGCGGTATATATGCTTGTTTATATTTTATAATGCTGTAAAATATCTCCTCTCATCCATACGAATAACCGGTCCTTTTGCTGTGACACTATATATTGGGGCCAGCAGCCACAACAACAAATTGATTATCTGTCTGTACCAATGGCCTACTTGAAGACTAGTCTGTAATGAACCTGGTGCTCA